TATAGGACTGAGTTCCTCAACTGATATTTGAGAATTCATATACAGAAGATTTGTTAGTATTTAATCAAACATGTTAATCAAGCAATGAAAAATGAGGCATAAGTTCATTACTACTTTGTTCCCATAAGGGAAATTAACGCAGTACAAACGGGTTGAGAATCATTGTCCCAAGGTGTACTGCAGGTCATATTCATAAGTGATATCCCATGTCTGAGTAGAAGGTTCAGCTTTTAGAACACGATCGTTTGCCCGAATCTACTTTAAGTACCTACAAAGCAACAATGTCTGGTGTCAGTAAGCATTAGTATGTTCGTGGTACCAGGAGTGACCTACCCATAAGAGCGTTCGCTGTAAAACGCAGCCCCTGCCACATTGACCACAAGTGGCACTAATTTTTCTCCAACCAACTGCAACGTCGGGATGGTTAGGTACGGGGCGGCAGGATCTCTCGGAACGGTTCGTTCCGACCGAACCTCGTTATCAAACGCGCATCGCGGGTCCCGCGTGTAGTCGGATCGAGTGGAGGTGTACGGAGAAGAAGAATTCTGAGTCCGCGGAACGAGCGTACCAAATCTCGTGACGCGGCGGAGACGTTTCCACCGGAATGATTTACCGGGACTCGTTGTAAAACGGTACCGCCGTTCCACGCATGGGAGACACAAGAGGATTCTGATTATCATTCGAGATTGTCCGCACAAAGGACTCTTCTCTGTTCGCAGTGAAAGAGCCTCCAAGATTCAGATATTTAAAAACGAAGGAACACCAAAATGGGAAGAAGAGCCACGTCGCTCGTGACTCGATTATCAGGTTTATTGTGTCGAGACCAAGCAATGACTCTTTCTTGAATCATTAAAACGAATACTGCACTTGCTTCAAGATATAAGTACGAATGGTATTGCATCAAATTTTTGGGTATGTTCATCTCGTTTGGTTAAGTTCCCACGTTGGCAAAGAAAGGTCTTGAATGATCATTAATTAAATTTACAATCTGAAAGATTTGGTGTAAGAAGGTTCAACAGATAGAACGTCGAATTGAAGGAGATACTTTTTCTACCTGGTTAGGTTATCTCAGCAATTATCAAGCGCCATTTGATCAAATCTTCGGCACCGCGGATTCCCATCCGTGAAATCGATCACACGAAAAGTCAAACTTTTAATTTACGACGCCATTACCGGCGCGCCGTGAGGAGCTAAGACGGTGGGCACTGGGCCAAGAAGCCGTTCGGCTTGAAACGGCTGTGTCGTGGGATCGCGCCGAAAAATCGAGAGGGGGTGAAACGAAAGACGGACCGGCGACGATAGTCGCGAAATAGGGGAGGCATTAGCGTTATTTTAATCAGGAAATATAATGATCGCCGGCTAGATTAGACCCGGCACAGCAGCGCGGCATAGCGAGGGATAAGGGATGGTGGAAACGAAGGAAAACGGGGCTGGCTTGTGAACGCAGGTTGTCGCGCATTTGTTACGGGCCGATAGCGATTGTTTCTCCTATCTGCAAACACCACTGCGACACTGCAGCCCACTGTTGGTTGGTTGCACTGTGTGCCTCTCACGTCGCATCGTGCTACACGTAAATGCGTGTGCGACGTGTACCTGGCTGCTTGCTGAGCTGCCGATGTACACCGGGAAGAGTGCGGTCTTATGTAACTACCCCTACGGTGCTGCCCGATATATGTATAGATTCTATTGGTACATACGATAATGCTTGGTTGGCATCGGTACAGGCTGACTACAAAACCCCGATTCTCCTCTGGCAATACGTGGAAAAAACCCGCGACAATGCAGCCTTGTAAGTACAAAACCTAATGATTATCATTGGATGATTCTAGTACTTTTGGAATGAGGTATGATAATTAATGTTCGTAATCAATGGTGACGAGAGTGTTATCAATTTTTGCATTCTTTATTAAGTTCAAAAGTTTACTGGTATTGGTGATGCTTGTTTCATATCGCGAATACAGGTACTAGATAATACAAAACGTGACAGAATCGTGTTAAAGTGCGATGCTCTATTCCATAGCTTTTCGATTGCCTTACGTGGCAATTGCTGCTCCGCGAAACCGGCACCTTTTCGTGCTACTTCTCGGTCGCGCGGATTAATCATTTCCCGGTAGCGTAGGTAGTAGAAATTTCTGCCACATACTACCGCCCGAGCCTGTCGCCTCCCTCTATCGCGCATCCCCTACGTAGCGGCAATCACAGAAATTCGCGTATCCATGCTCACGTGATCACCGCAGAAGGTAGATTCGTTCCGGATAGAGCCCCGTCTGCCGCGAGATTGAGTTCGACTCATCTCGAAATGCTTGTACCGACTATCCTATTCTATTCGTACATAGTCGGCTGATGCGATAGATACATAGACGTATTCAGCGGCAGGGTGGAACGAGGGGAATAGCTCGTTCGACGGGGAGTAGTGGGAGCGCGGCCGAGAGAGACGAAGAAAAGACAGAAGAGCAGCCGGAATAGGAAAGGGAGAGAGAGACTCATGTACGGCGTGTATCCATTTGCAGACACAGATAAACACGGACGGAACCAACACCCCGATACACCGGGACAGAGCGAGAGTGTTCTTATAGTGGAACTTATTGATCCAACAAAACTCATTTCAAGATACAGTGCGAAGTCTCCAAGATACTGCTCTCCTACTCCACTTCGTCCTGCCTCTCCTCGCGTTCTTCCGCCACCCCCGACCGCCGACCCCCTCCCCTTCATCGTCCGGCACCCCCGCGCCGTTCGACGGCCCCGGACCTCGTCCGCATCCGCGACGATCCTCCTCCTCCTCCTCCTCCTCCTCCTCTTCGCTACCGTGTCATATATACAACGCATCCGTGAGATATAAGATGCTACGAACGCGCGTAAGAAGCCCGATTAATGGCTGAGACCAGAAAAAATAATAAACACGTGGACTACATAATTTTGCATCACCGAGTGAATTTTGCGTTTATGGGAACTTTCTCATTCGCAGTGACGAATCTGGATATTGTTTAATAAAGTATGCTATTGAGGAAACAAATAGGCAGGGAATCCTCGTCGTACGTAAAGAATATCGAATATAAATTTATAATTATATCCTATTTAAAATACATGTGCCATGATTGTTATGCATATGCGAATACTTATTGAAAAACACGGAGTGAAGGAGTAAAGATGGTCACGGGTTCGACGGAGAGTCACTGGGATAGCCAGGATCTTCGCCGGAAAAGTTAATAATCAGCCCCGACGCGTGACCTTGTACTCCGTTTTCCCCTCGCCGCTTTCGCCGCTCGTCCGAAATCCAAAGTTTCTCGGCAACTCGACACTGCAAGCAATTTCGGCGTCGAGTAATCCCCTTCCCCCCCGTGTCGGGCGTCCTACTCACCTAACCCTGCGCCGAGCAGTAAAGGAAAGTGCATAAAGCTGTAGAGTGTCGCCACTTGGAACGTCCTGTGCGCACCACCGTGTCTGTCTTCACCGCGGAGAAACGAATTTCAGACGAACGCGTTCGTCGTCCTATAACGAGATTCACGGATCTTCATTCGCGATCCGGTGACGATGGATCATCAGCGACGAACGATATCGGTGAACGTCAACAAACGCTTTCTCTTTAATTAAAATTTAAAGCTCGTCCGCGATCCAACGTAACGGTAGTGGACAACGCTAGATGACACGCGAGATAACGGAAGTAGTATAAAGAGGGCGAAGTTTTATAGAGTCCCTAGGAAGTTGGTTCGCTTTTCCCTGCTGTTTATTGCGCCGCACATGACGATGGATGCACGCCGGTCGGTCGGCGGATCTCGCCACCCCGTGCGTAACGATATTCGTGCGAACGTTGAACGAGTAAACAAATGAAGGAACTTACGATTGCGTAAAACTGCAAAGTGTCTGTGGTTTGTTTGTCGGTGAGAGCGTTTTCGAGGCAAAGGCCTCGAAAGAGTGAGACAGGCGTAGGGATAGAATGAAAGAAGAAAAGAGAAAGAGAGACTGTCGGAGTTCGAGAAAGAGGCGAGAGAAGAGAGGAGAGGCGGCGAGAGGGGGTGCAGAGAGGAGAGACGGGGCTTAGGTAGGTGAGTCGCGAAGGATGGGTGAAGAGGAGGCGGAGGGAGGCAGAACCGGAGAAGGAGGAGAAGGTGGAAGAGGTAGAGAAGGTTGGAAAGGGGTGGAAGGGGCGGAAGGCCACGAATGTCGGGGGAGGGAAAAGAGGGAAAGAGGAGGCGGGTAAGAGGAACGGCCAGGAGAGGGAAGGAGTCGGAGGAGATAGATGTATGTAGGAGGGCCGCTCGATACAGCCCCAGCAACCCCCTCTTCCACCCTCTCCCGAAGCCAAGCATCGCATCGCGAGGTTAAAGTGAGAAAAGTCAACCCCAGTGACTCGGTGAGTCCTCCTGCGCTGGAATATCGAGAGCCAGGCAGGGTTGCACCAGCGGAGAAGGTTAAGGATTCGATCGTCCGCAAGGTAACGATCCCCCTCTGTCTATACTTTTTGGCAAGGTTCGTTCCGCTATCCTCTATGGCGATTGAGCCTCAAGCTTTCGCGTACGGACGTGCATGATCGCCCGTGTAGTTTTCTGCTGAGGTTCGATGCCCCGTCGCGGTCATCTTGCGAACCGAATTCTAAGTTGAGCGCGATTAGAGCGGCTGGAGAAGCTGGGAATGATCCCGCACTCGCGAATATCAACCCGCTTTTACGCTGAACAGAAATGTTTCTAACAGCCAGTAGGTGGAAGCGACGGCAGTACCCGTCGGGCCATCACGCCGGCACTTATCGAGAGACTTTTAAACCCACTTTTCCGAGTTGGCTGCCTTTCAAAATTCGAGTCGAGAGGCGTGCTCTTGCTGGCAGGTCTATGCCAGCCGGGGACCTGCCGGGTTGTCACTTGGCTGGTTATCCAGGCACTTCCATGCACGGCCACGCGGATACGAGTGCATAAACATGCGAGCGAACGCCATCCTGGCTAAAGAGTACCTTTATCTCTAGCCAGCCGCTTCCTCCCGCCTCCTTCTCCTCTTCTACCTCTTCCTCGCAACCTGCACAGCCTTCTCTTTTCTTTTCATTCACGGACCACTCGTCCTCTTTCGCCCTGTCCCTTTCTCTTTCCCTGTAAATGCCGCTTCCACCCTCCCGACCAGGCATTCTCCTCGTGTGACGCTGCTATGGGTGGAGGAGGAAGCTCACGTAGGTTACTCCTTTCTGCCGGCAGAGGATATTGTGATTTTAGCGTCTGTGTAATTATGGAAATTAGCGACATGGAAAGCCTAGGATAAAAGGGTTGATTATAATCCGGCCGCGGGGGTGAGCTCCGATCCCAGCGTCCCGCTCCTGTGAGCGACCATAGATTAAAACGCTCCTTCTACACTAGCGCCTTTACTTCCACCAACTACCCCTACCTACCGCCATCCCCTATCGTAACCGCCACCCACTCGGCCACCCTCGCCGTTCACTCTCTTCGTGTCACCTACCTCATCCCCCTTGGCCTGTCTACCTCCTCCGCCTCGTTTCCATCACCCTCGACCTGGAATTTTTCTCCTTGTCGCTAATCATGTATCCGGCTCCGTTCCCTCATCCGCCGTCGCTCGATCGTATTTCCCTGGACGAGTATTTCGGTCCAATGAATGCTACCATGCAAGGTCGTCCAAGGTTCTGTCGTCTGGATTCTCTAAAATCGATATTTGAATTGCTTCCAACAATGCAAAGTTGAAAGCAGTCCCCAGGTATTGACCTCTCCGTTTGGCATATCAATATAGATATTGTAAACAAGTTGTAGCTACATGTCATATCGTACAAAGAAAGTCCATTAATTGCACAGCAAGACGTATCAGTCATTTCCTGTAGATAATAAATAGGAATTGTTCGCCGAGTGAAAGTGTGAGCTAATTTAAGCTTCGCAAACATGCTCAAGGATAGCTGCCGGTTACTTTCCTTCTCTTTATCTAGCTGAAAGCATTGATTAGTTTAAAAGTTAGTTCAGAAGCAGCGAAACTTTCGTCCAAAGTATAAGAAGGAAAAGTTCGCATTTTCATCACTGACGGCCTCATAAGAAGCGACATTTCTTCCATCTACCACCTTAATCCATAGTATCCAACCGTCTACTACTATTTCCGTTGAACGTATTCGATTATGCATTAGCTTCAACGTATCGTTTCCACGCAATCCATCACGGGAACAACGTTTCGACACACATGTAGATTGGTAACCAGTCCCCGGTGAGTCCGACGAGCTTTCTGTCTAGAAGGCGGCGGGCAGGAAGAAAAAATGGCGAGACCACCGACGAATTGTCTACCACAAGGTTGGTTGCAATTGTTCCCTCCTCGGAGCTTAACGCTTTCTCTTTTCACTCGCTGCCCCCCTCGGATCGGTACGACATTGGCGCGAGTTCTCCTCTCCGTCTGACGTTCATCCCTTACCGGTGCATCCCTCCCTGGCTTCGCTGTTCTCTCCTCTCTCCGCTTTTTCCCATCCAGCTATTGGGCTACCTTGGTGTTTCGAGCGGCTGGTAGGAACCTATGATGTGATCGGGTATCGAATATCGGCTGGCTCTCTGATTGGTCGTTCTACCGCGCACGGTCGCAGCCGGTGCGCGCCAGTTACGACTGATTTGTTACGTAAAAACGTCGATAGCTTCTATACCCTCTCTTGTCCCACCTCCGATGCGCCGCACTCCCTCCATTCCTTCCTTCCGCCCTCACGGCCCTCTCTGTTTCTCCTCCCGACGAACTCTTAACGCTCTTTCCACTACCGATTCCTCTCCTTCCCACTTTCTCGACCACCCTTCGCCCGACCGGTCTGGCCACCCCTTCGACGGTCCTCGACACACCGCCACCGCCCCCAGCGGCATCGCGCGCGATAGACGAACCAACGGGAGAGAGAAAGAAGGAGAACTCGTCTTTTTTATCGGCGCCGTGCGCTACTGCTTCTTCGTTCGTTGGGGCATGAACGCATTATCGAAGAAATGGCTGGTCTACGTTACACCGATTCCGCTATCGATTATACTCTTCACATTTTTTCTCGATGATCCGTCGGTTTATTAATGACAAAGGTCAGCAGATAAATTGTAAATTGGATCCTGAGCAGCATGACCGTTAGCTTGGCAATAATGTCAAAAATAGGTTCTCCACTATTCCATGGTCTATGAAACCGAGAAGAGACAAGTGCTAGACAGTTTGCAAACGTTCTTACGTTGCACAGCTTCTACTATCATTACTAGACCATAGCGTATTTTTTTTATACCTAATTTCTTTTCCTACAGCTTGACTTTTAATCTTGGAACACACATACAATTTTTTCAAGGCTAATGAAAAAATGATAATTCTCGCGAGTTTGAATACGAGGAAATGTTTCGTATGATCGTGGAGGAAATGTCGAAGGGTGTCAGCGAACAATGGGGTATTTGTTCAACTGAACTCCGTTCCATTTTACGTATCGCCCCAGTTGAAATTTTCCGGGCAAGAAGACGTGCAGACTCGAATATTTCTATCACGGCAAAGGCAAAGAGCCGAGCGTTACGTTACCGCGTGCTGACCGTATTGTAGAAACGTATTCAATGCCTGGGCCAACCATTTAACACCCCGGCGAACCGCGAAGTTTCCTGCGATGAAAGCACCGGCGCGGAACCTATTGTGAAAATATCTGACCACTGTCCGGTGCAATGAGGTATGGCTGACCCCGGGAGCCGTCGGGGGCGTTGTGTCGGGGTACAATGCGCGCGTGTAGGTATGCGTATCCAAGCGGCCGGGTGTTGTGAAAATATTTCACGCGGCCACCGCTAAACGGACATAAACGCACTCAACGACAGTTCCACGTCACCGAAGTACAACCACCGGTTTCGCGTTACGTTTGGTTTTAACGACTCGCTGCGATGCGGAACAGCTACAAACGTTAACCAGTTCTTCATTTTCTTCTCGACCTCTCGCCCGTAGAGAAGGACAACTTATACTTACATCAGTGAGGAAAAAATCGATCGAGGAGGCATTGCTGAAAGGTCGCTAACGAGCAGCAGTTTCTCATTAAAGATCGAGGAGAGTCGGTTCACCGTGATGGGCGTTTGGCGAACGAGACAAAAATGTCGGGAGAAAGATCGAACAGGCAGGCTCAAGTGTCAAGAGGGGGGGTGGAAGGAAGAAACGAGGTGCGAACAGACGGAAAATCAGCAAGCGGGGGGTGGATGAGCGTAACCACGAAGCGAATGATGAGCATCGACAAAGAGGAGAGAGAGCGCAGACTCAATATCTCCGAACCGAACCCTCCGATAGGTCGAGGTTCGACTTCGAGGGTGGGAATAGATTTCCAATCGCACCGGGGGTGGTCCTCCGCCGGTGGATGCTCGGCACCAGAGCACCCTGTTAAACTCCTGCCTGCTTCGGCATACCAGGGTCCACCCTTTCCTCTATAGGTGGACCAACGCACCTACACGCACTACGGCTGGTCTCTCACGACCCTGCGCCGGTGGTACACCCCTTTCCGATTCGACGATGCTGAAGCGTCGACTGTCCGAGAGCGGCCGCTGGAGAGGGTAAAGCTACGAGGACGAACACGGGAGACAGAACGATTCTATTGACCAGGGTTCGATGCGCGCATCTGGGCGTAACCCATTCGTTGGTTCGTACAGACCGAGGCGATGGGAGCGAGGGAGAACGGTATCGACGGAAGAAGAGCGGTAGTTCGGTGTGTGACGGAGAGAGGAGCAGAGAGTGTACCGCGCCTGCGAATTGTCGTCAGGGCGACGGCGACACTGGAAAAATCGAACTGAAATAAACCGAAGCGTTTTCTTCGCGGAGCTCGAGCACCGGTTCGCCTCATCTCCGTCTTTCCCCGGCGTTTTTCTCCGCTCCTGTCCCGATACCCGTCTCCCTCGTACAGCCGCCGCCGCCGCCGCCACCGCACCACCACCGCCGCCGCCACGCCGGTTTCACCTTCTATTCGTCCTCCCACTCCGCCGCCCGCCGCTCGCGCTCACCGGCTTCTCTGTCGACCGTTTCACTGACGTTCTCTCCTTCCGGCGATGCTCCTCTTACCAAGACTGTGTCTCTGCGTTCCTTCCTGCCTCCCAGCATCCTTCTTAAGTTTACTGTGTTATTGCCAGACCATCCGGGACGACTGCTTCGGACTTTCCGCGTCAATTGGATATTTTCTCTGCATATTGTTCCGTACCTTCCAGAAAAATATTTTTTCATCCCAGAATTTCCCCGCTCGCTGGAAATAACGTAGATGCGATTCGATTCATCGTCATTTACGACAGTCAGCGTGCATTTAATGTATTTTTAAAATTACTAGAGGAAAATCGTAATCCTTCCATATCAACAAATATGTAACAGCGATAGTAATCTCCACATCATGAAGTCCCGAAAGTGGGACCAATCGTACCTGAAAAGAGAAACTAAAAATTATCACCCAGCGCAGACTTCTCATATTTCTCGATCGAAAACGAATAGTCGATGTCAACGTCTTGGTGGCAGGTTTCTAATTTCAGAAACACCGCTTCAATGCTGGTCATCGAGGACGAAGTGGCAAGCGAGGGACACCGGAAACGATGGAGAGAGAGAGAGGGGGGGATAGAAGACCGAACGGCGGATAAGAGGTCGTGAGGCAGTGTTTCGCGGGAGGAAGAGGAGCCGTGAAGCTCCGTCGCCCGTAGATCTTCGAAGCTCGTCGCAACTTTCAGCGGATGAGTTGTTGGAGCGATTTAGGCGTTACCGCGGGAATAGTCTTCTTCCCTGAAACCTCGAGCCAACGCTTTCTCGCTTCCGCTGCTCGCGTCTGGCAGAGCTCTCTGCACCGAACCAGAGAGAGCCACGCCGGTATTTACACGTCTCCGTGCCGCGTGAAACAAAGAATTATTATTTGTATGCCCTGGTGGGCGGCGGAGGATTTTGCAGTTCACAAACTAAGTTAGCAGCTACAACTCGGCCCGGGCCTGGCCAAGTGGGGGATTCCGGTGACCAGGACGGAGAAGGGGGAAGGTGGTCAGGAGGGAAGGAGGACCGTCCTTTCTTTCTCACATCATCCCTCACCCTCTCTCTCTCTCTCTCTCTCTCTTCGCGGTATGTGTCGCGAATATACGGGAATTACAACTCTCCGTCGTACTGCCAGAAGCTTCCAACGTCTGCGACGACGGTCCCCTTCTTCAACCACCTTCGTCTCCTGTTTTCGAAACCGGCAGCGATTATTGTATTTTCACGCGACTAGAGGGTTTCTTATAAATCGTTCCCGCCCAACAGGCAGATTGGATTAGCCGTGAATTATAACGGGGGTGCGA